AGACCAAACACATCGCCGATATAATAGGCGAATGGGGTGTTTGGCAAAGGAATCTATGTATTTATGTGTTTATATTAACCGCAATTCTTGCCTACAATGACCTGGGATTTAGCTTTTTTGCATATCAACCAGAATTCTGGTGCAGTGATGTTCCCATTGATTATCAGGTACGTAATCTTTTATCGTATTAGAAAATAATTTATAATTTGTATAAAATTTGTTATTCATATGACTAATATAACCAGATTTTATTACATTAATGCTTTAATTTAAACAAAAATAATGTATTTGTTGTTTCTATTGAATAGAATAAAACAGAAGATATGAAATGCAAGAAATTTGTCAATTCTAGTGAATTGTGTACTGAATGGCAATACAACAGAAATGATTTTCACAAATCAATCATCACTGAAGTATACATTTACTAACTTATTATAAAATGAATGCCAATTGAATACAAGTTATATAATTGCAGTTTGATTTGGTGTGCGATCGGTCTAACTATGCATCGCTCACACAATCGTTTTATATGTTGGGATACTTAGTGTCGGGTCTCATACTATCCTTTCTTCCCGACAAATACGGCCGAAGACCTCTTTGTTGGATATACTTTCTCATCGAAGTTATATCGCTTATAGCCTGTGCGCTGTCAGTCAATATATATCAATATATTATTTTCCGTTTGTTTGTGGCGATTGGCGGCTGCGGTCGCACCGGCACTATGTGTGTGACGCGTATGTATTATTAACAGTAACTTAAAAATGACTCATTTTTATTTAAAAGTTTTATTGAATTTATAATATTTATGTCAACAGTTATGGATAATTGGCGCACATTTATGCCTATTTTAGTTAATTAAAGCAAATTTTGATTTTATAATTTCATTTTAAGGAATATAAAAATGAGAATAAGGTTTGGGTGGCATTTATATTATATAATTTGGTTTTAGATGCCATTTATTGATACAATTTTGAATTATTGAATTTATTCATAATACATACCAAAAGCTATTAATATTCCTATTTTAAAAAAAAAGATTTATATTATATTTTATAGAGTGTTTAACTGGATTTAGAAAATAATTATCAAAATTAATAAAAATTAAATATTTAAAAGTAATGTTTTATTTTTAAATCAAAAACTAATTTAGTGATGGAAAACATGGGACCAAAACACCGGTCAGATATATATCTAGTCGGAGGGATGGGATGGCTGGTAGGGTATTGCCTAATACCAGTGATGGCTTACTTTATCCAAGACTTCCGTTACATGCATTGGGCGGTTGTGTGTCCATTGGTTTGTATGATCTGTTGGCTATTTTTCCTCAATGAGTCTCCGCGTTGGCTCATCACTAGTGGACACACAGACAAAGCCGAACGGGTTTTGCGGCAAATAGTTGAGCAAAACGGTCTCAACGACGAGAACTTTGACGAAAAGTTTGCCGAACTTAAGGCACACTTGCATTTAGTATGTGTTTTGCATTTAATATTTAGTAAAATTTTTTTGATCATTAAGATATTTGCATATTCTTAGAGTCAACAAAACGAGAAGACTTATACCTTCTTCGATCTCTTGCGGACACCAAATCTGCGCAAATATTCAATAGTATTCTGCTTTTCGTGGCTCGTCATTGGTTTAGTCTATTATGGCTTTAGTCTAAATATGGCCGACTTTGGTGGAAATTTCTACATCTCTTTTCTTATGGGAGGTTTGCATTAAAAACATCAAGTATTTGCACACAAAACACACTGACAATTAATATTAACCCTTAGGTGTGGTAGAGTTGCCGTCGTCTATAATAGCGATCCTAACGCTCCGATACTTCGGCCGCAAAAAGTCATTCTTTGGTTTCCTGACCATTATATCGATGGCCTCATTAGCGGTGATCGCAGCCAACGATACCATACTTAAGGTGTCGTTCGCACTGATAGGCAAGTTTGCTGTCGGAACCGTCTGGTGGGTCGTCGAGGTCTATGTGCCTGAACTCTACCCCACGTTAATGCGAAACTGTGCGTCCGGTTCGTCGCAAGCTATGGCCAGATTAGGGTCAACTGCCTCTCCTTTTATGGGAGATTTGGTTTGTGTTTAATAGTCGTAACGATTCAATCATTTCGCTAACTCTCATATGTATTGATTTCCTTATGTTAGGCCTCAAAGTATAGTCTAACTTATGTAATGGTTTTCTATGCAATCATATCGATGTGCAGCGCCTTTATGTCACTCCTATTGCCGGAAACAAAGAACAAGGAATTGCCCGACACTTTGGCTGATGTCGAGTATATGGATAACAATAAGTCATTTATGGTAGACAACAACGGCGCCGATGATAGCGGACTTCTCGACCAAAAAGTGTGATCCAGTTTATGATATACAGTACATGACTGCTGTTTTGTAATCAATTTATGTATAATCAAAATGACCTCAAATTAAACACACAGTTTAATTGTTAACGCAAAATATTATGTTTTAATTAACTTTTATATTTATAAATATGTCATAAATATTTTAATTAATTTACGCAATTAATACAAGGCTTGTGAGAAGGCCTTCATAACGTTATTGTTTGTATAAATTTTATACTATAAAATATATTAATTAATGAAAATAATAATAAAACAATAAAAACCAAACTTTTTTAACTTTATAAGATTATATAACTTAATAAATTAAAATTTTAAAACATTCAACATTAGTAAATATTTGATTTAATTAATTAATTGATTTTTGAAGAAAAATGTTTATAGTTATACAAAATTAATGCCTTAATTAAAATCATTACTCCGTTTTAATTCATTTATTTCCCCAACAATTGATTGTATTTCCCTTTGTTTAGATATTAATCTTATGCATCCTTTTGGTTAAAGATTAAGCTTTTATTTCTTTAATAATAATTGTATAAATCCTTATAGAGTACTGTAATTTCAGTTATAAATAACTTTATATTTATTTCAAACAAGTATTAAGTATTGCTTACAGTTATTGCAGTTGATATACTAATGAAATGTTTCTCAAATTATATTTTATTTGTTTTAATTTTCTAAATTTAAGCCTTTGTTTAAATTTTAGTGAAAAAACATTCATAATATTTTCGGAAGCAAAGAAAGACATAAGAATTGGCGAATTGAATGAAATGACTGGAAAAATATCGTTTACTTTGAATGAATCGAGTATTTTATTCAAGAAATCATATCTAGTTTACGGCATTGACTACAGTATTAGCGGTCATCTATTGTTTGTGAATAATCAGCGCTCAAATCTGGTCTCACCATTGCCTTCAAACCACACAAATTCACTCAACATTACTCTACAAAAAGTGTTAAACAAACAAAAATATCACTTCTTATCGCGAATTGCTTTTGATTGGATCCATGAGCTCTTGTATTGGACGGACGACACCAGTATTGAAGTGATTTCAATACACAGACCATCTCTACGCTATGTATGCGTTGAGAATAGTTTTGATGTCATCCGTAATGTAGCCATAGATCCGTTGGAATCGCTTATAATTTGGATTCAATGGCAGGAGAGTGGAGATAACGATAAGATAATGCGCTCATCACAAGCGGGAACTGATGTTAAAGTTGTGGTCGATTACGATCTCAAATATTCCTATGCACTCACACTTGATGTCAACTCAAAGACAATCTATTGGATTGATTCCCAATTATATACCCTCTCATCGATTGGATATTTTGGCCAAAATCGGAGGACTATTGCGAAATCATATGATCTCTTCTCGAGTTCATATCGAATGGATTTCTTCGCCGATTATATCTATTGGACTAATGATAGACACAATGCTATACTACGGACCCATCGGACGGGTAGTAACGGCACGAAACGGTTTGTCGTCTTTAAGGCTAACGTATCAATAGATGCCATCAAAATAGTAGACAAAACCAAACAACCGATGATTGCCCTCAACCGGTGTTTGAACGCCAATTGCACTCATCTATGCCTACCATCAGGTGTTCAAT